CCGGTACATGGACATTAGAGCTCAGTGAGAGCCTGTGTGGTGCCTTCAGTGGCCTTGTGGAGCCGTTAGACATCAACATGGTGCTCTCAGGAGCCGGTGAGTCCTCAGAGTCACCGGTGTGTGGCCTTCAGAGCTCCGAGATACTGGTGTGGGGCCCTCAGAGGTGTCGGTGTGGGTCCTTCAGATGTACAGTCCACAGCAGAAGTAATGTGGGGTTTCAGTCATGGGTATGTTCTGCTTCTGAAGCCTAGGAACGATTAGCCAGACTGCAATGAGACTTTAAATGTAGCTTACATGTATATTCACCCTTGCAGCTACAACTTTATCTATTAACGTCTCTATCTATTGACGTCTATTGACGTATCTATTGACAATAAGTCCGCATTTAAAAATCGTCGGTCAAAGCCATCCGTTGAGATTGGTAAAACCACACATTACTTTAGCGGTGGGCTGTACCTATAGAGCCTTGAGATGCACAGGTGTGGTGGCCCACAGAGGCGCCGGTATGGGGCCTCCAGAGCCACCGATATAGGGCCCTAAGAGACACTAACTATGACCCTCAAAGGCGACGCTGTGTGGCGCTCATAAACACTGGTGTGGAGCCATCACAGGCGGGTGGAGTCGTTAGAGGCCGGAAAGGGCCCTTAGATGCCTACAAGGAGCCTTCAGAAGCCGGCGTGGCACCCTTATGGGGATAAGCGTGTCTACTCAGGAGCCCTTGGGGTGCTCTCATGAGCTCTGTGGGGGCCCTACCGAGCCGAAATATGGCCACGGCCAGTTGCCGCCGCATGGCTCTTCGGACTATCATTCTCAGGGGCCTCATCTGCCTAGTTTGAATAGAAGGGCCTCTCAGACAATCAGTCTCATGGGCCTCCTCTGGCTAGTATAAATAGAAGGGCCTGTTAGACCATCAATCCTAGGGGCCTCTTCTGGTAAGTATAAATAGAAGAGCCTCTCAGACCATTACTCTCAGGGGGCTCCTGTGGACAGTATAAATAAAAGGGCCTCTCAGACCATCAGTTTCGGGGGCCTCCCTAGAAAAGTGTAAATGTGTATAGACTGGGCCCCCTCAGTTTCATTAGTAGTGGAGCTCTCTGACTATCGGTCTCAGGGGCCTCTTGTGGCCAGTATGAATATAAGAACCTCTCAGACCATCGGTCTCAGGGGCCTCTTCTGACTAGTTTGGATAGAGGGCCCTCCCAGACCACCGGTTTCAGGGGCCTCCAGTGACCAGTTATATGAACAGAAGGGCTTCACAAGTCACAGCCATCAGCCTCGGGGGCCTCTTCTGACTGGTGTTAATATGAGGGCCTCTCATACCATCAGTCTCAGGGGACTCTTCTGACTGGTGCCGGATTGAGGGACCGCCCAGACCGAAAGTTTTGGGGGTTTCCTGTGGCCAGTATGAATAGAAGGGCCTCTCAGTCCATCAGTCTCATGGGCCTCTTCTGCCTGCTGTGATTATAAGGGCCTCTCAGGTCATCAGTCTCAGGGGCCTCCTCTGACTACAGACTACAGTGTAGATGGATAGGCCTCCCAGACCATCAGTCTCAGGGGCCTCTTCTGACTATTGAGGATAGAGGGGCCTCCTCTGGCTAGTGAGGGTAGGGGGCCTCGGCTAGAACGCCAGTGTCAGGGACCTATTCTGACTAGTGTGGATGGAGGGGCCTCCCCAGACCAGTGTGGATATTGGGGCCTCCTCAGATCCACTAGGGCCTCTCAGGCCATCAGTCTCAGGGGCTTCGACTGACAAGTATGAACAGAGGGCCTCCTTGGATCCATCACGGCCCCTTGGAGTCCGTGCGTGGGGATTCGTGGAACTTATTTTTACCGAGTTTGTTTATTCTGGAAGTGACGACATCCTCTCAAATCGAAACGAGGGGCCTCGAGTAAAAAGTGGGTGGGCCAAAACACATGGTTGGCCCCCCCCACATCGAAAAGTGGGTGGGCACTTGCCCACCTGCCCCCCCCCCTGTTCCTACGCCTATGAGTCACCCGTCACAATGGGTGTCTGTCACTTCTTTAGTCGTAGAAGTAAAATAAACTTTACCAAAAAAAAAAAACCTCAAAGCAGTTTTCATATTCCGGATCGGTTTCGGTGGTAATGGAATGTCATAACTGCCTTGAACTGTTTTTTTTTTGTGGAATTTATTTTACTTCTACGACCAAAACATGAACGATAATATCACTTTTTCAGGTATCATGTCTAAAGTGCACGGTTAACCACGTCTGAACGTCCAACTCAAACGTTTATGACACACACATCTGAATGTTCACCATTTGACACTTCTGAATGTCCACCGTTTCACGTTTGACACGTCTGAACGACGAACGTTCACCGTTTGACACGTCTAAGCCGTTTGGCACGTCTGAACGTCCATCGTTTGACACGTCTAAGCGTCCACCGTTTGGCACGTCTGAACGTCCACCGTTTGACACGTCTCAGTCTGAACGCCCGCCGTTTGTCACGTCTGCTGGCCGTCCGTCGTCGATAGCGCAAGTCCGTCGTCCACCGTCTGTCCACTGTCTGTTTTGTTTGTGGATCATTTTTGGGAACTATCAATAACGCCCATTATAATTACACCAGTGGCCTCGGACCGGCAGTGTCCGTCTCTTACCTGACCAATTAATGCTACGGACTGGTTCCGGCTCCGACACGTCCCTGCAGCACCGGTGTTCTGTGTATGCCGCTGGCAGCACCCGATCGGTCACCGCCGCGGTCCGCGCACTCCGCACTAGTCCTCCGCGGTCCGCGAGCGCTCCGCCTCCGTCCGCCGTCCCATGCCGTCCGCCAGCGACTGCCGGCGGCGGCGGCCTGAACCGGAGACTGCCCGCCGCCGCCGACCGCCCCGGCACGCTCCGCCGAACGACCCTTGGAGCGACCCGACCCCTCAGCCACCGACGGACGGCAGGTCAGGGTGCGGGAACAACACGGACGGGAGGGAACTGAAAGAAAAGGATGGAGATGTCAGGAATAAAGATATTTCTCCTATCGAGTAGGCTATATTGGCTGAATAATTGATAACTTTCACATGATTGTTTCCTTCTTCCAAATGGGTGCTCCATGAAAAAGCAAGGAAGGAAGGCATATCATATAATAACATTTGTGATAAGGCGACTGCCGGTACTCGTGAACCGCATAACATTCAACATGAATCCGTGACACACTATACCTACAGCTGACACCTACAGCTTACATCCGGCGTCATACACTGTCATACATGTCTTACTTAGGCGTCATACATGTCTGTTCATTCATTCGTTCATTCATTCTTCGATTATGTGAATCGATTAACATTTGCTGTCTATAGTGTAGGTCGACCGTTTATACAAAGACATCCCGAATAAATAGGGCATCGGGATCGGGACGATACACAGTATACAGAAATCGAGAAAACAGAGCGACAGAGAAAGACAGAGGGAGGGAGGGAGGGAGGGAGGGGGAGAGAGAGAGAGAGAGAGAGAGAGAGAGAGAGAGAGAGAGAGAGAGAGAGAGAGAGAGAGAGAGAGAGAGACAGACAGACAGAGAGACAGAGACAGAGACAGAGACAGAGAGAGAGAGAGAGAGAGAGAGAGAGAGAGAGAGAGAGAGAGAGAGAGAGAGAGAGAGAGAGAGAGAGAGACAGAGACAGAGACAGAGACAGAGACAGAGACAGAGACAGAGACAGAGACAGAGAGAGAGAGAGAGAGAGAGAGAGAGAGAGAGAGAGAGAGAGAGAGAGAGAGAGAGAGAGAGAGAGAGAGAGAGAGAGAGAGAGAGAGGTCTGTGTTGAGCGATATGCTCGGGGCGTATTTTTAGTGGGCTTCCTCCCGTATCACAAAGCCTCCCAGCCAGCGAATCAGAGGTGTTTATGCTGTTAGCGGGAGCCTCCAATGGGCGCCTGTTAGTGGCGTTTTTCTGTGTATGAGCCGGATAAATATTATTCATCCAGGTTACCCCAAAGCTGCACAGCTTTGGCAGCCGCGGCAGGGGTCAGCATCCATTTTCCGCTGATGGTCCCCGCGCTATCGCGGTGACATGTTTACCTGCGAGGGGGCGCCGCGCGCACACAGCTGGACGGGCCGACTGAGTCTCGGCGCTGCGCTGTGCACGGGCGGGGCTGACTGGGTGCTCTGTCGGAGGGTGGCGGGTACCAACACCGCCCGGCGGGGTTCTGTATATCCAGCCCTGTGGATTGACGGCACGAACGGCGGAACAGGGGCCCCTAGTCCCGGCGCGCGGCAGCTACCCTTTGCTCGGCGCCCGGCAGCGACACCGCCAGCCGTCCTTCGAGCTCAAACATGGGCGACTCATAGATATCAAACAGCGACTTTGCCAAAATGAGATTTGGGAAAACAAGATGCTTATAGTGATTTTGATGCCAACAGGAAGCGTGAAACGGCACCGCCAATGCTGTGAAACCGTCAGATATCGTGGCTAGAGAGAAAAGAAAAAGAAGGCAGTGCAGATGCCAAAATAGGTTTTTCTCCCTCGGACCCACCCTTTGAATTCGCGCACACGGGCTTAAAAGCCTATTAGGCGTGCTTCATTGGCCTGCAATTCAGTCAGCGACCAAGGGATAAAAGTGATCAGCCATCCACTTTGCTTTGATTCGTCTCTCTCTCTCTCTCTCTCTCTCTCTCTCTCTCTCTCTCTCTCTCTCTCTCTCTCTCTCTCTCTCTCTCTCTCTCTCTCTCTCTCTCTCTCTCTCTCTCTCTCTCCCTTTTGCTCTTTGTCTCCCTCTACTGACGAGATGAGGTGAAGGAGGGGATGGTGACTTCAAAGTCAAAGGACCATTGACTCGCTGAAACACGGGTACGATTCGCGAAGCAAACTGTATGTGTGCGTGGGAGGGGGGGGGGGAACCGAACGAGAAAACTCCTCAGTGTCACGCCCTACCATAGTCTCCACACCATACAGTTGGTTGAGGGCAACTGCTTGCAAACCACCACTACCACGGCCCAAAGCCGATACCGGGGATTAGAAACCGCGCACCGCACAGTCTACATAAAGACCGCGCCTAGCACATGTAATGTATTTACACGCCCCAAGGTGGAGCACAAGAGACTGCGGCACTACAGTCTTTCAATCCTTTACATGTATGAGGCCGTAAGACCCTTCGAGCCACGTTACTGCAAAACAGGATAAAATGTTTAAACCTCCTCTCATTGGAGCGAAAAAAAAAAAACGCATTTAAAAGGGAGCCGGAATCATTTAGTTCACTTCTCCGTAAAAGCAAAGGCTGACAACTTGGCGAGACCAGAGCCTACCTTCGGGGCACTCTTTGTACTATTTTCGGACACGTCGCTGGTCTCGCACTTCTCAGATTCAAGATTCTCCTTCTCTACGCGCGGTTTGGGCGCGAACGCGCTCTTGATGGAGCCCAGTTTACCGGCGGCATCTTTCGAGACTCGTGGCCTCTTTGGTTTGACGCCGCCCCTGGCCGCCTTACCTTCTGGCAGCGTCCGTTTCACCGGCGCCTCCTGCCGCTTGATATCATCGAACACGGCGGCGCCTTTGCCAGCCTGAGTGGCCGGCTTGGCCGGCTGGCATTTGAACGGGTTACAGGGCGTCAGTCGGCCAGGAGCGATGTCGGACCGGCTCACGGCGTCACCCGACTTCTCCGCTATCTCCGGCAGCACGGGCACTGGCGGCGGGCCTTCCTCCCCGCCCTCCTCCTCCTCCCCCTCGGACAGCTGGTCTGGGGTCTGTGCGCGCCGCGGCACCCGCTCCGGCTCCGCCACACGCTCCGACGGCGCCCGCTCGGCCGCCGCGCGCGGCGCCCAGTCCTCGGTCGCCGGCTCGGGCTCGTCGTCGTCGTCGGGCGCGTCGGCCAGTGTCTGGGCCAGCTCCATGAGCCGCTGGGCGAGCACGGCGCGCCGCTGGCGGGACGCGTACCCGGCCACGGCCTCCACGGTGGCCACCTGCTCCATCTGCGCGGCCACGTCCAGCGCCCGGTGCTCGCGGTCGGTGCGCACCGCCAGCGCGAACAGCTGGGTGAGCGCGGCGGCGCGCGCCCGGCGCGGCTCCACGGCCGCCTCCTCCGTCTCGAAGCCGGCCGCGTCCAGCCGGCTGAGCGTGTCGAGCAGGAGGCGCGCGCGCGCCGCCTCCTCCTCCAGTTTGCCGCGCGCCGAGTCGGCCTCGGCCAGCGGCAGGCGCAGCGGCAGCACGCTGAGCACGGGCCGCGGCAGCACGGCCGGGTACCGGCTGCCGCGGCACAGCAGGCCGCGCGCCGTCTGCTCCAGCTCCGAGACGCCCACCACGAACAGGTGGTCGGCGCCCGGGTGCGGCGCCTCGAGCGGCGTCCAGGCGGCGCCCTGCCGGCCGGTCAGCAGCCGCAGCGCGCCGCTCGAGTCGGCCACACACGGCGTGCCCTGGTCGCTGAAGCCGGCCCACACCAGCCGCGACTGGGGCGCCAGCGGCACGGGCACCGGCGCCGGCGCCAGCGACGGCGGCCGGCGGCCGGCAGCCGACAGCAGCTGGGCGGCCAGGCTCTGCTCGCCGGGCAGGCCGGTGCCGGCGTGGTGGACCACCAGCAGCCGGTCCTCCCAGCCGGCCAGACACACCGGCCGGCCGCACAGGCTCAGCACGCGCAGCTGCACGCCCGTCAGCGTCAGAACGCGCAGCAGCCGGCGGCTGGTGGCCACGGCCAGCCAGTCGGCGCCCAGCGCCACCGCCTCGGGCTCCTCGCCGTCGGCCAGGTCCAGGTACCACTCCTTGTTGGAGTCCCACGAGCTGAAGTGGAGGCACTGCAGCTTGGCGGGCGCGTCGTCCTGCGCGGGCGCCGCCAGCAGCAGCGCCCGCTCCGACAGCGCCGCCAGCGTGTGGCCCAGCGTGTTGCGCAGGTGCAGCGGGTGGTGCACGGCCGAGTCGTGGAACTCGACGTCGATCGAGTCGGCCTCGTGAGCGGTCACCACGCCCACCGCGTTCCACACCATGAAGCGGCGCTCCAGGTGGGCCGGCGTGCTGCCCGGCTGGAACGCCGGCTGCGGCTCGGCGAACGCGGGCCCGCGGGGCACCGGCGCCGGCGGGGCGGCCGCGGGCGCCGCTGACGGGCGGGCCTCAGTGGCGCCGTCGGTCGCCTCGCCGTCAGCGTCCGACAGGAAACCCGACTCGGCCTTTATCTTGCGGAGCGATATCACGTTGTCATCTTCTTCGTCGTCGTCGTCGATGAGTTTCGGGTCGTCGAGCGTGTTCTTCTCGCCGTCCAGGGCGGCCTCCAACAGATCGCGGTCGTCGTCGTCATCGATGGCGTCTTGCAGGCTGTCGATGTCCATCAGGGCGTCCGGGTCGGCGGCGGCGGCGGGGGCGGTCGCCCGGCCGGCGCGCACGTTGGAGGTCACGCCCAGCTGGCCGGCGTTGTCGGTGAACGCCAGACGGTCTCCGTCCGGGTGCCAGCAGAGCGCGTTCACGCGCAGCCGGCCCTCGTGGCGGTCCAGCTGGCGCGCCGGCCCGTCTCCGGCCAGCCGCCACTCGAGCAGCAGGCCGTCGGCGGTGGCCGCCGCCACGAACCGGCCGCACGGCGAGAACGCGCACGCCGTCACCGGCCGGGTGATGAGCTCGCTGCTCAGCCGGCGCCGCTCGGACCAGTCGTCGCCGCCGAACAGGCGGACGCCGTCGCCGACGGGCACGACCGCCGAGCGGCCGTCGGGGCTCCAGGAGGGCCGCGCCGGACTCGGCGCCGTGCTCACGTCGTTACTGACGGCCAGCAGCGCGTGCGCGGCCAGCCGGCGGCCCGAGCCGGCGTCCCAGAAGGTGACCTTGCCGTCGCAGCAGGTGGTGAGCAGCACGGCGGCGCTCGGGCTCAGCGCCACGCTCAGCACCGGAGCGCCGAAGCCGTCCAGCTCCAGCG